ATGCAGCTTTTATGACCTAAGAGTCTACATGAGATGTTTGTTCATTTAAAAATTCATTTGTCACAACACTGGTTCATTTAAAACTATTTAATTAAGTCAAAAAGGTGTCCATGGACATGTTGTACTATCAACCAGTACTATCAAAAAAATAGTTCACCCAAAAATGAAATTTTGTTAAAATGTACTCACTGTCAGGCCTTCCAAAATGTAGAGGAGTTTGTTTCTTCATTGGAACAGATTTGAATAAATTCTGTATTATGTTACATGCTCACCAATGGATCCTCTGCAGTGAATAGGTGCCATCAAAATAGGACTACAAACATCTGACAGAAACATCACAGTAATTCACACAACTCTGAATTATTGTGATGCCTTTATCAGCTATTTGGACTCTTGTTCTGATGGCACCCATTCACTTTGTTGGTGAGCAAGACATGTAAAGCAAAATTTTTACAAATCTTTTCTGAAGAACCAAACTTATCCACATCTTACATGGCTTGAGGGTGAGTACATTTTGGTGAACTAGCCTATTTCTTTAACTGCAAGTCATTTTAATTGCGGAAAAAAGGCATCAGTTTCACATTATATCATTCTGAACACTAGCTTACCTTCTCCCTTCCCATATTTAGATGATGGAGACCAGGAGACTGCATCAGAATAGCCCAGTTCTCTGCATACAACTTGGGCTGCATGAATGGTGAAATCATCATCACACACAGTCCCCCACTCCTCTTCATAGAAGACCTCAACACGCCCTTCGTTGTGCTTGCGTTTCTCTCCTGCCAGGCGTAGCTGTATCCTGGGTATATCTTTAGGAAGCTCTGGAGCAGTATAAAGGTCCTGTGCAGGGTCTGGGTAGCCCAGGAGGTAACCCAAGTGCTCATACTGTGCGTAACTGAATCTCCATACGCACAATAGTACAAATGACACAGACCAGAGGGCCAGCATAATGATAGAGGCTCAGAAGGTTTTTATGGCCTGCAAAAAAAAGAAGTGAAAGTGAAGCAATGGAAGTAGTTTCTATTGTTATTATTATTTAAAAGGCAGCACAGAAAGACATTATTGATGCTAAACAGACATAATTAATGCGTTTTAAGATTTCCAGCTAGTCATTTATCTGTACTTTTTTAATCAAAAGCACTTTTATCAAAGTCATGAGCTAAAGGGGAATAGCATGGGAATTCTCATCCATCACCAAATCAGCCCACATCAGAGAGCGCAATATTGAGGACACAGAGACTTGTTTAGTCCACGCTGTGGCATGCTATTCATCTACATTAGCCACAACCTAAGCAGAAAATGTAAAATTCACTTTGAATACCAAGGAAAAGAATCATGTTCTTATCAGAAAATACAGTTTAATTGAGCATAAAAGTTTGACAGATGACACTTTGATTGGATGTTAGATATTCTCTTTCAGTGACACAAGAGGATGTGCTGATGGAAGTATGGTAAGCATGAATAGATGAGGAAATTGGTTTCCTGAATGGGGGGGAAAACACTTTATGCAAAGTGGAGTGCAAAATTCAAATAGAAAAACAGAGTGTTTAAGGATGTAAATTGGATCATAATTATTTAGGATTCTACACTAGTTTTACATCTTAAATCAAATAAGCAAATTTGTGACATTGCGAAGTCTTTTGTACAAAAGGCCATTTTCAAATATATACATATATACATGGGTCATCAGGTTTTGCACGAACATGTGCAATGCTGTTTTTCCAATTCAGTTACCTCTAATTCTAATGCTGATAATATAATTTGACAATAAATATTATTAATAAATTATTAAATTTAAAAAGCTAAATACATGCTAGGGTTCTCAAATATTTGAACCCCACTGTGCAGAAAAAATGATTAATATAGTGAATCTTCAAGACATTTTGGTTCTACAGTACCCACTGGCATGTAAGCATCTGTCTTAAAAGCCAAAAAAATAAAAAAGTAACATGCTTCCAAGGGTTCCCTTAAGATTGCCACTCCAAGATAAAAGAGGCACTTCTACAAAAGCACTTTTTAAGACTTCCGCTCACTTTCTCAAACATACTCAAAAGTTATTGCCTAAAAATACATCAAAATGGTGAAGCCTGTAACATAAACTAAAACTAAATGCATAAACTAAATTACACAAGCATAAATAAATCTTTCAAAATCTTTTCAGGGTCTCAGGATTGTCCAAATGCATGTGGCAAAGAGACATGATGGACCCCAGAAGTCCCAATGAATTAGCCAAAATTTCCATCTTCTTCTCTACAGCAGCCTATGTGGAGGTTCTTTTAAAAATGTGATTGGTCTAAAGTGAATTTACGTAAAGCCCATCACACAGACAAAGGGGCATGTTCAGAAGTGTATTTGGTATAGGCTTTGTTCGCCAGGACAAGACCTATTGCTCTGAGCCATCTACAGCTTTGGAACTGCCTCACATTCCTGTCCTAAATACCTGGTTCTTGTCTTGTTCTATTTTGCACTTCCAGACAGCAAGTCCCCAGACCACCATAAATAGGATTCTGACAGGATAAAAGGGTTCACATGTCAAGGGGTCACAGTCCTGTGTAATACTACCTAAACACAATAACCCAGTGTTCTACCTGAACCAAAAGCAAAGGCGCATACCCACTTTTGCAGAGGCTGTAATGTTTATTAATAATGAATAACGTGAACAGGTTGTAGTGTAAAAATCCTATCCCACTGACTCAAGCATGACGTCATACGTAACCATTAGCATTGTTTTTCTCTTTTCTATCTTACAAGGAAACGTGCTGTATGTCAGGTAACGCATTTAAAGCGAAATATTCAGTACAACTACGATTATTTTCTTTGAAATAAGCAAAAACGCGATTATACAATATCGCTTAATAAAGCAAAGCAGAGGCAGTGGTTAGCTTACTTTTGCTGCGAGTGCAAGTTTCACAGTAGAACAGTCCTCCGAATGTGAATCTCTGCTTCTCTCAGCTGTTGCACATCCCCTAAACTTTCACTGGTTGATCTCCTACAATTTCAGGAAAGTCGAAACAAAGTTACGCCTTGTTGAACTGCCCACGCCCACCACTGTGGGCTGGTGACCTCATGGACCTCCACATAACTGCAATTTTTGAGGAAGCAGAAATCAAAAATAATCATTGTGATGGATTAAATAATTTCCTGGCACGACAAGAGCACTTCGGGTTACTGTGGAGAGTTTTCTGGAGGAAGGGTGGCAAACTATTTCACTAATACTTCTGTAGGTTGGTGTTGTTGCTTGTTTGTTAAAAATACATACACATAAGTTTTAGTGTATACAAACAATTTGAGTTGGGACGAATGTATTCCAGTAGTTAGTTAACCTCATAGTTATGCTCAATTCTTGAACAAATCCTTTTTAATGCGATCTTCAATGAATCCGTTGAACCGGTTCACAAAACCGGACTGAATGATTCGTTCTGGATTCATGGCTAAATTCGGTATAGCATACTACTATCCATTCATTCATTAGCTCTAATATTTCTGCCATATAAAAATAATTCAGCAGAATAGAGTAGCCTATGGAATTTTGCCGTTTTAGCTCACATACGAAACATATTTCGGCAAAGAAATTTGGGCTAAATAAACTCACTGGTTGATCTCCTACAATTTCAGGAAAGTCGAAACAAAGTTACGCCTTGTTGAACTGCCCACGCCCACCACTGTGGGCTGGTGACCTCATGGACCTCCACATAACTGCAATTTTTGAGGAAGCAGAAATCAAAAATAATCATTGTGATGGATTAAATAATTTCCTGGCACGACAAGAGCACTTCGGGTTACTGTGGAGAGTTTTCTGGAGGAAGGGTGGCAAACTATTTCACTAATACTTCTGTAGGTTGGTGTTGTTGCTTGTTTGTTAAAAATACATACACATAAGTTTTAGTGTATACAAACAATTTGAGTTGGGACGAATGTATTCCAGTAGTTAGTTAACCTCATAGTTATGCTCAATTCTTGAACAAATCCTTTTTAATGCGATCTTCAATGAATCCGTTGAACCGGTTCACAAAACCGGACTGAATGATTCGTTCTGGATTCATGGCTAAATTCGGTATAGCATACTACTATCCATTCATTCATTAGCTCTAATATTTCTGCCATATAAAAATAATTCAGCAGAATAGAGTAGCCTATGGAATTTTGCCGTTTTAGCTCACATACGAAACATATTTCGGCAAAGAAATTTGGGCTAAATAAACTGTTTAGCCTACGATTGTTTATTGCCAATGCAATACAATTATTTTAGATTCTATGAACTGAATCATGGCTGTAAACTGATCTGAATAAATAAAAGTTGATCAGGGAGCACGCGATGATGACGTAATTACACAATGACGTAAAATAATAAATAGCTTTTTTGAACTGGTTCTTTGAAACGGACAGTTCAAAATAATCGTTTCGTCGAAATGAGTCAGACCTCTCATCACTAGAACAGCTGTCTGTTCTCTTGTGGGATATTAATGTATGCATACTGCCATCTTGTGGATAACGGTCCACTTAGGCTGGGGAACAAAACTGTAAATTAATCCATAAACGCTAATTAGACTTCACTGGTCTGATAGCAGATGTGTCCGGAGAAACACGATTTTCCACTTGCCTTATTTGTTTAATAATAAATATTAGAATGGTTTCTAAAAGGCCTGATGATTGAAAACAAAATATATAAAAAATAAATAAATAATACATATCCCATAATATACATGACAGCAGTCACTATCTCCCTCTCTCCTGTATTTTCTAAGGCTCCTCCCCCTAGTCCTACTTCCAAGATCATTAGCCTCACCCTCTACACTGTATCCTCACACACTTCTCTGGTTGAAGGAAGGAGGGAAGGTTATTTCAGAAATGTTCAATTACAGGCAACGCTCTCATTAATGGATGAATTCCTGAAGTCTTCGGATATTAAACTCTCTGCAAATGTACCCCGAAGAACGGATGCTTGATCAAAAGCCTTCATTTTTCAGGTTGCAGCCAGGGTAATAGGGACATCCCGGAAGATGGTAAACCAGACTGAAGGTTATGTCTCAGAGCTAATAACTCGCTCCACGACTGCTTGTCTGCTTTTCGTTTTTGTGCTCTCCACCTTTCTGGGGAATGCTCTGGTGTGCACCGCAGTGGTACGGTTCCGTCATCTGCGCTCCAAAGTGGCTTATGTGTTTGTAGTGTCTTTGGCGGTCTCAGATCTCTTAGTTGCCTCTCTTGTAATGCCATGGAAGGCAGTCGCAGAGATTGTGGGTTTCTGGCCGTTCGGCAGTTTCTGTGAAGTATGGATAGCCTTTGACATCATGTGCTCCACCGCCTCCATTCTTAACCTGTGCATCATAAGTGTGGATCGTTACTGGGCTATTGCTATCCCACTGAGCTACGAGCAGAAAATGACAAGAAGAGTGGCATTTGTCATGATTGGAGTGGCATGGGCGCTCTCTGTTCTGATCTCATTCATTCCTGTGCAGCTGAGTTGGCATAAGAGTCTCCGCCATAAAGAAGACCTGGGAGAAATGGCTGAGAAATGCGATGCCAGTTTAAACCGCACTTATGCCATCACTTCATCTCTAATCAGCTTCTACATCCCTGTCTCCATAATGATTGTCACTTACACTCGCATCTTCCTCATAGCGCAAAAGCAGATCCGAAGGATATCAATGCAAGAGTGCACCATTAAGCATGTTCAGTCCTGCCAGAGCTGCAGTAAAGCACCTGAAGAGAAGTTAAAAAGCTCATTTAAGAGGGAAACCAAAGTCCTGAAAACCCTGTCGATGATCATGGGTGTGTTCGTCTGCTGTTGGCTCCCTTTCTTCATTCTCAACTGCATGGTGCCGTTTTGTGACCCTGGCCTCCACAACGCCGGGAAGATCCCATGTGTCAATAAGACGACTTTCGATGTGTTTGTGTGGTGTGGGTGGGCGAACTCTACCTTGAATCCTGTAGTTTATGCATTTAATGCAGAATTCCGCAAAGCGTTCTCCAGCCTCTTGGGATGTGGGAAGCTGTGCTCTCGGAATACGGTTCAACCGGTTGACTTCAGTAATGAGCTGGTGTCTTACCATCGTGACTCCACAAACCTTCGAGATGCTCACCTCTTCGGTCACTCCTGTCTGCATCCGCACGCTGTCAGGGAGGAAAGTGATAAAGACGTGTGCTTTGATACAGTGTCACAGATGGATGAAGTCCCTTATGAGGCTGAATGCAACTTTGTATATGGGGAAAGGCCTCCTATGCTAAGTCAAGGAGAAACAGAACTATCATTGGATAAAATCCTACCATTTACAAAAGAAGATGAGTTAGCGTCTCTTGAACGTGTGGCTCATAATGAAAGCGAATCTCCTAGTATCTCTGGAATATTGTAATCTGTAAATATGCGGTGTGTTTTGAAAATAATGATACTTTTATGTATTAAACAAACTGAGTAAGACTATGAGTAATTGAACTGGCGTAGACAACTGTTTTTGAGTGCTGTTTCTACACTACTCTGCTCATGAATCATTCAAAAGGTCACTCACTGTGAGGCAGAGATTCCATAAAGAGCTTTACGTATAAAGCTCATGATGCAGTATCAAGTTATTTCTACATGAATAATGTGCAGTCTTTTTCAGTTAAATGTCTTAATGGAGGAAATAATAATAATCATATGTCTGTCAGCTTGAAGATTTGACTGAAAATGAGTAACACCTGACTTTGAAATGTCCTCTATTCACTCCAGAAAGGGAAAATGCACTGACAGACTGACAGGTTGTTTTTATTCCCCCCTTTTATTTCTGAGCATGGCATATGAGCTCAAATGAAAATATGAGATCAAGTGATTTCATGCAATTATTCTGAGAATCGACTATCTTTACTTATCGGTCTGTCATAACAGTTACCTTTTGTCTGAAAAAGCTTCTGTTCATTGAATGGATTTGTTCACATTAAGTCTACTCTGTTGGAGGTTGGGAAATTATTAAAGATAATGCAAGTGATACTGAAAAGATGTTAATGTATAAAAGGATAGTTGACACAAAATACATAAGGGAAGTTGTTGTCCTGCAATACTTTATCTTAAGCTTTGTTAAGCAGCATTATGATCATTTCTTTATTAGCTCATAATATTTGATGGACTACTTGAAATATTTGTACATTTGCCACTCCACAGGACCATTTAAAGTGAAAAACATAAATCAAAATGGTGAAATCATGTCAAATTTCCATATATATTAATATAAATTTTAAGCTAAAACCTTGAAGTTGATTTATATATATATAAATCATTTTGATTTGTTTTCCACAATTTAGATTTTTTATTTTTTGGCCTTTACTAATTCACTATATATATATATATATATATATATATACAGTATATTCAAAAAGGTCAACCCAAAATATTAAATGACTTTTAATAAGAAAATACATTTCTCCTTAATTTAAAAACATTAGAATGAACAATAATGTACATTCTCTGCAGATAAAGAAAACAAATGAGCACTCATCTTCTGATAGCATATTTGTTTTTATTGGGAGTTTTATACTAAAACAGGTTTTGGACAAAATATAGGTTTAAATGTTAAGAACAATAGTATACAAAAAAATTGATGGAATGTATATTGTCTGCTAAATGACTAAATGTAAATGTAATATTGCCTTTGGTAGCAACATTCAACAAACCATTAACAATGAATAAATTAAATGTTTGTTCTGTATTGCTGTATTTACAGGAAAGTGTAGTATAATCCAATACAAAATATAAATATAACCTGAATCATCATAGTGACATAGTGATAAAACACACTCATCCTGTTTAGTCACACACGATCAACTTTAAACAAACTGTACTTATTTATGTTAATGTATGCACATTTTGGACACTTTCCAACAAGCGGACTCTTCTGTCTAATCTGTGAAGGATTGAAAATCCACACCAAGTAATCGGTTTTGTGCAACAGGTACAGAGGTAGAGACTGTCATGTGTTTATACAAACCGATCTTGATAATAAGTAGTTGACGGCAATATTTGTGCTGCTCGTTCGCGCTGGTGATATTTAAAAGCAGTAAGACTCCATACAAGACAGTTCAAAAAGTGTCACATCCCACCCAAAAACCATTTTCTCAGTCTATCAAAAGGCATTAGCCTTCTTACATGCATTAGGAACATTTGCACTTCTGTGAAGATGGGGTGGCTCTTACAAGAGCCGTTGGTTAATGGAGTGAAATCTGGCAGTTTACTTCTTCTTAGCGGCCGTCTTCTTCGCTTTGGCAGCCTTGGGCTTTGCGGCTTTAGGCTTCACTGGTTTAGGCTTCACTGCTTTGACCTTCTTGGGACTCTTTGCAACTTTCTTCACAGCCGGTTTCTTCACTCTCTTTGGGCTTTTGGCGGCTTTCTTGGGCGCAGCCGCTTTCTTCACTTTCTTGGGAGACTTCTTCGGGGCAGGTTTCTTTACTGCTGCCTTCTTGGGCTTCGCCGCCTTGGCCGCCGCCTTCTTCACGGCTGGTTTCTTCGGTTTCACCACAACTTTCTTGACGGGCTTCTTGGCGGCTGGTTTCTTGCTCACCTTGAAAGATCCGGACGCCCCGGTGCCTTTAGTTTGAACAAGTGCCCCCTTTTTCACCAGAGATTTCAAAGCAATCTTGACGCGAGAGTTGTTTTTCTCAACGTCATATCCACCACCTGCCAAAGCCTTCTTCAGAGCCGCCAGGGAAACTCCTTTGCGCTCGTTGGAAGCGGCGACCGCCTTCACGATAAGGTCGGACACGCTTAGTCCAGGCTTTTTCGCCTTTGCCGCCTTCTTCTTCGGGGCTTTAGCCGGAGCAGCCGCGGGAGCAGGAGCAGTTTCTGCCATAGTTTCAGTAAACTTGGAGCCGATGTCAGGTAGTACAGAGCTGTCAAACAAACAATGTTTACATCCAACAGCTGAGGGCGGGATTTAAGCGGGAGATGAGAACCATATAGACTCAACCGCCTGAACCTACGCTCTCAACAGGACAGAGTCGTGCGTAGATGTGTTTTCTGGTCTTGAAAAACACAAGGTTTTCCGCGATAAAGAGCGATGGATTGTAGACTTTAAACCACGTACCGATAGCTGAGTCTTTCCTCTTTGTGGGCAGCTTGTGTTTTGTGCAAAACATCGCTTGGTTTATTGTACAATAATAATAACGCGTCCAAATTTAGTGCAAGCCGCAGCGGGAAATATCGCACTTCCTCTGTTCTTTTGTAGATTATATATTAAAATTCGAAAAGCACAACTAAAATGATGGACATTTTGCATAGAGAAGACCCTAATCTACACATCTGCGGTAGTTTTAGACTAAGAAAGCGCACGGAATAAAAAACTGAAGCGTTTTTCTTTAGTGAAGGTAACACAGATCAGCGCTGTCGCCATTTCAGCCTCCCCTAATCTCACGGTCATTCTTTCGACAGTGATCTATTAATAATCATATCTGTACATCCTGTACATGATTCGAGTAACTTATATATAAGCATCTTTGCCAACATTAAACATTTAAAGACGTTGCCTGTTAGTAATAAAACGGGTGCTTGTGTTGTCTAAAGGGAAAGTGTTGTCCTCAGTCGAGGAGTGCTATATCAGAGGGAAGCTATCTTGGTGTATAATGTTGTATTGATGAATTTATGGCCATGTTTGCAACATTTTAATACGTACAAACACCTAACTATTCTTATAATTATATTTAGTGGTTGTAAAAAGGCCACCTAGCCACTTTTATCCGAACAGGCTTAATAACGTCGAGGATTTTCTCTACATTCCTTCATTGTCCAGCGGAGAACTAGCCTACTGCTGCACGTAAATTGTGCACTGTGATGTTGATCGACATTAAACAATAAAACTATTGCTTTTATCTGTCACACACATGTATGAAATATTTCATAAATTCGTGTGACAGAATCTTCACTCTTTTTTAGGCGAAATTTAAAGATGCGTTTTGTATGTAGGCTAGTTATACTAGGCTACTTGTTCAACATAGGCTAATGTAGCCTACCTGAAAGCTTGTGGACTCATGGCTAAATTCATTAGTACGAAATATTAAACATCGACCAGGGCACAAAAAGCTAATTTCTGTGATAAATACGACGTTTATTAATAGTTAATTTGCCGTACAAACAAATAAAAAAACAGATGGTGATCGGTCAGTAAGTCGTTCCATCGACTCCTTCATACCCAGCGATTATTTTTGTTTGCGTTCTGTTAGCCTACATCTGCCTGCGAAAGAATGGCAGGCTACTTAATGAGTTTGCTTAATAAAATGATGTTTTAATGAAAATTTGTCTTCTTAATTATTCTATTAGGCCTATGTGGTACCATCTGTGAGTACGGTCAATCCACTGTGTGTAGTGCCTAACAACGCCATTTAAGCCATGGCCACAATTTAGCAAGCCTTTTACACCTTGTTTGTGTATTGAAATGCACAAATTACAGGCCGGGACTTTTGATTATGCAAATTAAATTACTCTTGTTGTGCTTAATCGAGTGTGTTGTTGGACATTTTATTAAACCATTTTACTAGGCAAATTCATTCCTCCGCTTGAAGATAAAGTCCCGGACATTACAAAACATTGTTATGCAACAAAATAACCATCCGCTATCGGTCCTGTGCAGTGATATTGGACGATGTTGTAGAATGTAACATGATAGGCAATATAAACCGATAAACACAGATAGGAACGGCGCGCTTTATGATATCAGGCACTATTTTAGAACGCAGGGACTCCTTAATATTTTTTTTTATGGTGCAATCGTTTTATAAAGGCAATAACAAAAACAAGTCACTCGAGATTGTGCCATATGTCTGACAACCGCCTTTAGCCATAAATATTAACAATACGGTACAACGTCTAGTGCCTTATTGCTTATCTATGGTTAAGGACATATTCATATTTATTATTAAAATCAGTATCTTATTAATTAACATGAATTATAACTAGTAGTTTAGGTACATTTACGAGTAAATATGAAAATATCAAAAGGTTTACTGACATTTCTCACAAATTAATTCATGAACAATCAAATCAGTTTGTTACTAGAACAAGTACTAATTCATGTAATAATGACAATTATTACATGACCATAAACGGCTTGCTTTTTTGTTTTGCTCTATTTTAATACTTGAGTAACTTAGTGATCTAATTAAAACCAGACTTAATGTGGTGTGGGGAGCATACTGTATAAAATAAAATAATGCATTAAGACACATTAATTTGCCCTTTTAATTGAATGTTTGGGCGGCTCTTAAAAGAGCCTTTTTTTTTTTTTGAAAATCCGGTCCAGGTGAAATTTAACCGCCAAAACCATACAGCGTACGGCCTTGGCGCTTCAGAGCGTACACTACGTCCATAGCAGTCACAGTCTTGCGCTTGGCGTGCTCGGTGTAGGTCACAGCGTCGCGAATGACATTTTCAAGAAACACTTTTAGTACACCTCGAGTCTCTTCATAGATCAGACCGGAAATACGCTTCACACCACCACGACGCGCTAAACGGCGAATAGCTGGCTTTGTGATTCCTTGAATGTTATCTCTCAAAACTTTGCGGTGACGTTTTGCACCACCTTTCCCAAGCCCCTTACCGCCTTTTCCTCGACCAGACATGATAGCAAACAGAAAATTCAAAGAACGCGAATGGAATCGAAATGAAAGGGCTTTTTGGGAAGTCTGACATGTATATCCTTCAAGCGGACCTAGTGGAAACCATGCTTGCCACAACCCCACTGCGGGTGGGGCTGATGTAACAATGCAGAACAAGTATGAAATAGGTCCGTTGAGCGTCATTTTTTAATATTTGATTATAGATCATGGAATCGAATAAAAGCTAGAACAAATATTAGTATTTCAGTAATTAGGATTGACCTGCTTATGTTCTAGTATGGTTGTTTGTGACTTTACAGTTTTTCTGAATACTTCAATTACATTACTTTTGGGACCTTATTCAGTGCGGATTTGCACTTTTGTGTTTTAGTGCGTAAATTTCAAACAATCAAAAGAATAACTGACTGACTTAGAGCGAAGATATGTAAATTTCATACACCTCAGCCGAGTGTTTTGATTGGTGAGAGACAGCCTCGATTTCTATTGGTTATTCGCTGATGACGACGCGTGGTGATTTGTCCCTGGTTTGAATGCCCTTCCCAGCCAGTTTGAACCGGTTTAACGAACAAAGAGGCAATACCTTTGTCTGACTTCATTCACAGAGGCAAACAGCTGGTTTAATGAAGTGATTTTAATCATTTATTATAGAAGTCTTCTCAAATAATAAATAAGCACAAACCACTGACAATCAAGCAGTGATTTTACATCCGATAATTTGCCTTATGCTTTACAACAACAACAGCAGCACAATCAAATCAAACATATAATAAAGAGAAAATTTGCAGCGCTCTGTATAATTAGGAATAGGAAGACGAACGGTTGTTACATCAGGGGACTTTGATTCCATTGAAGAGTGCAAATCAGTCAGAATGCAGATAATATTTAGCTTTCAGTCATTTCAGCTTTGGCACATCAGCTTCCATCATACCCCAGTGGCTGCAAATGAGAGCAAAGGAACAATATCAAACCAATCCTGTCAGAAAAACTACCAATTTATGAAAATAGTGAGGTTTGTACTAAAACAAGATAATTAGCATTACTTTGTCACAATATTAAGCACACCAAACTCAAAGAACAAAGACATCATGAAATCCTTTGTCTTTTACCTGGTAAACTCCCTCTTCATAGCCTGGCTCAGGACGCTGCCATATCTGATTGGATAAGATTTTCAAAACAACCAATCCAAAGGCTACAATGATGACTCCCAATGCATTTGCAGTTATTGCCTCTGGTGGTAATGCGGAATAAGGCAGCGTCCCATTGGTGTTTCCTTTTCTGAGGAGAGAACCAATGGAACAACGCATTTGCTGTGACATTGCACTAAATCTATTTTGAGTTCTACATTTATGAGTATGTGTTTTTAACCCTCTTCTTTCTACCTCATACATCAAAACTTAAAACATATTGATTAGAGCATAATGATCAGATCTACAGCACTGAACGCTCCATGAAGATTAATAGCCATATATAATGAAGTTAAATATAAGTTCTTCAGGTCTTCACTGCAATAGCTAATGCATACCACTCAGTTTATGTAGTGTGATCACTTACAGTGCAAAAAAGAGTTTTTCGTTGATCCCTGAGATGCAGGACACAATGCCTAGTACCAAGATGATTCCTCCCATCCAAACATGAGCTGGCTTTACAAGAGCACGAGCCGTCGTTGGAGTACAGGGTAAGAGAAACGCAGTAAAACCCATGACCCACTAGAAAAGAATCAGAAAAAAAATGAGAATTTTATTAATTCTTGCATCACTGCTGTCATCCATCTACATATGAACTATGTGAAACTACATTCTCAGTATCCAAAACAACTTTAATTTTAAACAGAACAGAACCGTTTTTAGAAGAGCAGCACATCTGAATGTACGGTACCTTTATCTGATGTCTTACAAATTTCAAACAGCCTCGTGACTGCGTTTTTTGTTGATCTCAGTTCCTCTTTCCATGATTCCCCATCATGATTTTCGATTTCATCTGCCAGCAGACCAGATGGCAAACAAATAGCAGAAATGAGGAACAGCAAAAAGGGACTAGCAATCATAAGGATGAACTGGACATTATGTCACTCACTCAACACTACAAATACTGTACAAATAGAGAACTCAATAAATAGAGAACTGTTCAAATGAATTCCATGACGCAAGGAAACAATGTAACCAAAATGATTTTCTAAAAATAAGACCCATAGGTTTTAATGCATATGCTTAGGGAGTGCTTGATTATTTTTCAAGTTTTGTAGTTTTACATTATCATTGTCGTTTGTATCTTTCTGTGACATAATGCCAGTACGAGGACACTCAAAAACAGACGAAGTACCCGCGCAAACTACTTCAATATTGCCTGTTAAAATAATAATATTGACTGTTAACACAAGATAATGTGATTTTACTTGATGTCATGCTAGAGACTAAACCAATGTATACAAACTTTAACGACGGACGAAGCTTGCGATGTTTTTGAGAAAAGCAGCCCTGCTTGCGACACGACAATTTCCTGTTTAACCGCAAGGCGGCATGGGAACTGTAGTGAAAGCTTGTGTTATTTGTTAGATTATATTTCGATTACTTTTCGACAAAACAACCAAAAAAAAAATTACGACACAAGTATAAAAAAACACACCCAAAAGTGATATTCCTTCCTCGTGAGATCTGTCTTTAAACGGAAATTAAACTTTGCTGCGGGGTTTGCAATGTTTCCCAAAACCATTACATTGGCTAGGTAAGACAAATGTCCCAAAATTATGAATTCTGTGTTATCACAAGTTATGGATTTTGCACAATACATCACCACAGTGCACAAAAGCCCACACATATTTGCATTCCAATGAACCAGCATAATGCAGAAAATGATCGAGTTTTAGAAGCGACGAAAGCCTTTCAACCACTGCCAACATCCTTAAACAAAACACACAAAACCTGTATTTATTTTAACAGGAGTTAAAAAATTACGACACAAGTATAAAAAAACACACCCAAAGTGATATTCTTTCCTCGTGACATCTGTCTTTAAACGGAAATTAAACTTTGCTGCGGGGTTTGCAATGTTTCCCAAAACCATTACATTGGCTAGGTAAGACAAATGTCCCAAAATTATGAATTCTGTGTTATCACAAGTTATGGATTTTGCACAATACATCACCACAGTGCACAAAAGCCCACACATATTTGCATTCCAATGAACCAGCATAATGCAGAAAATGATCGAGTTTTAGAAGCGACGAAAGCCTTTCAACCACTGCCAACATCCTTAAACAAAACACACAAAACCTGTATTTATTTTAACAGGAGTTAGGATTGTCATTTTGTATCATGTATTTTCTTCTGCATTGCTGTGGTTTGAAACTTTTCAGATGGTTCTATTCTCTGATCTATTTTCCAGGAGTTCAGGTGACCTCTGGTGGCGAGCAGGCTGAAATGCAGTTTTTAGATACTCATATTTGTAGGAAACACCCGTATGTGCGCTTTATATTTAGAACGTTAATGTAAAGTCAGAATCATTAAAGGAAAAACAAATATACAAATGAATTGCTTTTATTAGTTCACAAAATAATCATATGTAAACATCTTATTCAAGAACATTAAATGCATCACAATTTTGTATACAAAACGGGAAATAATGCATTTAAACACGTAGTAAGACTACACATTTCATAATATTAGGAGTCTTAAATATCTTTTTTTTTTTTTTTTTTAAATGTAACTAACGTTTGTAAACAGCGGCATAGCATCTTATCTAAAAAATGTGCACACGATTGGCTAACATAATAAATATTATGTCAGTGAAACACTTTCCATTTTGGAATTGTTGGGAAATAATACTGCATAAGGTAAGCCATGTACAAAATAAAAATCAAAAGAATACCTTTGCCCACTGAGGACACTAAGGTGGTGACAATATTTGCATGCTTCCAGTCACTCATCTTCATATTTAAAGTAACCATTAATGATTGCCTTTGCAATGATATTTTCTGCTGACAGCCTTTGGTCTAAATAGATTAATGCTTCAATAAGACTGTTGAAATCTGCCTCCAGTCCCTCCTTTTCCATCCAGATTTTTAACAGTTCATAAACTCTGTCTTCCGGAAAGAGAGACTCTGCACTTTTGATTGAATTATCACTCAGTCCAATGAACCTGAAAAATCTGTTATGATAGTGGACGTCCATTTCTTCAAAGAAATCAAAGCTTTTCTTCAACGATTCTTCTCCTGAAAAGGTGAGATAGAGTGAAAACACTGCAACTCATCAGTTTTAGGAATGCTAATTTAAGGAATAGTTCACCCACAAATGAAAGGTCTGTCTCACCCTCAAGTTGTTTCAAACCTGTATGAGTTTCTTTCTACTAGTGAAGAATGTTGGAAACCAAACAGTTGCCAGTAGCCATTGACTTCTATAGTATTTTTTATAGTACACTATGGAAGTCAATGGCAACTGCTTGGTTGCCAACATTCTTCAAAATATCTCCTTTTATGTTCAACAGAAGAAAGAAACTCACAGAGGTTTGGAACAACCTGAGGATAAGTAAATGACAGACTTCTTATTTTTGGGTGAAGTCTCTCTATAAGTTAATGTGAAAGTTAACAACATAAAACTATGTAAGGAAAAAGGTATGACCTTACCATTTAAAGGAACAAGTCTTCTTATTGACTCTCCTTCCTAAAAGAGATGGAAGAATTTAACATCTTAAAGGCATAGTGAGACAGTTACAACAGAGATTATTCCAGGCCATTTTAACTAGGAGAAATTATGTTAAACATTCAGAGCAATTTGATTATGTGTTTGACCAAGACGGACCAAAGATGGACAAACCCGTTTCAATCAATTACCAAACTTGCCCCATCTACAACTACCAATATCTAGTATTAATACATAGTATTATGAAACATGTCAGATGCATTGTAGAGAAAAATCTTACTTTAGTATTGTATCCCTCATTCGGTTAAATATTTAAAACAGAACAAATAACAGTTGGGCTCAGGAGATGCATTCAGAATTTATAGTTTCTAAATCAAAATCAACATATGCCCCCGGTTTCACAGACAAGGCTTAAGCCTAATCCTAGACTAAAATGTAAATCTAAGCTGTTTCAACTGAAAGAAACTTGCACTGACTGATCTTAAAATATATCAGTGCCTTTGTTTTATCTCAAGATGCACACCAGTAATGTTTTTTTTCTAAGTACGTTCATAAAAATTACTTAAATGTCCTAATTGAACTATGGCCTAATCCTGGCTTAGTCTAAACCCTGTCTGTGAAACCGGGCCATGGTGTTCATTATTTAATAAAGCAACACCTATTTTCCAACCAGCACACGGATCACTTTTCACTAAAGTGCATCAGGAGTTACAAGAGACATTAGGTCCAAAAGAGCTGAACCAAGACAAAAAATTATCACCAATATCTACAGGAGCTTGTCTCCTCAACAAGTGTGAAAATATTGCGACACATTTCATGTTAAGAAAGCCTGAAAGTGAAAATACTTCAAAACTTTGAATGAAAGCAAGCTTTGTTATCTTGTCCCCACACATTACCCAAGGCAAAGTATTTAGGCTTAGGAGCAGAGAATGAAGCTTTTGAGATGGTTATGATAGTAGAAATGGTGTTAAGACAAAGAAAGCTGCAACTCTCACCAAAGTGTGAGGCTGCAAGGCAGTGGCAGAGCTTGGAGGCTGGTTAGTGTGGCGGAACTGGAGATCACTAGGCACAGCAGACATAACCAGGCTAATTTGTGAAGAGTTGGCGGTGTTGGGGAGGCTGTCCCCTAGTCCCCTGTCTTTCTCCGTCTCCGCTGAAGCAGGAATGTTGGTACCCACCGCATAGTTTTGTTCAAGGAACGGCTGGAGCTGAGAGGAGTCATCCATCTTAGAGTTGTGGGCATTCTGGCTCTCCTCTTTCACCTCCTCACTGTCACCCTGCAGGACAAGAAAGATGTCGTCTGGTCGGTCACGTACACGGTGTAGTTACATCCAAATGTATATGAGTTCCTGTGATTTTTTTTAAAGCTGAGAAATGTACTAGCTACGTTTTGTTGTCCTACCATACAGATCCTAACCATTTTCCTTGGACTTCTTGATGTTACTGTAATTGAAGAAGACTGTGTGATAAGCAATAAAGAAACAACTGAAATAAGAAAAAATACTGAAAGAACTGAAGAAAGATTTCAAGATGTGTCTACCTGCTTTTTTACTCTGTTTTGACTTTGTCCAGTACACGATACCCACAATGAATGCAAGCATGGCAATGAATGCCACAACAACAATGAAAGTCACTGTAGGACAAATAAGATGTAATTACTATGTGAAACAAACTATGGAAACAACGTCTTTATACACAACTCAAAAGAAAGTGTTGAGGATTAAGGTCTCTGAACAATTATAATATCCTTTACTTGTGCAAATACTACATTTGATCAGCTGTAATCATCTAGTACAGTATGTACAGTATAAAGTTAATTTAATTGGGCTATGGGTTAAGAAGGGTTTTCTACTACCCGAGTTAGAGCTGCCCAAAGAGCTTCTCTTTCTACAAACGGTGTTGGAAATGTCTGTACAGCTTTTTACAGCCTCTTCATCCTCTCTGCATCTGGTTGTAACAAAAGAAATGAACTTGAGTTCACCCAAAAATTAAAAACTGGTCATCAACTACTCACCCTCATGTTGTTCCAAACCTTTTACTCCTCTTTAAAACACAAAGAAAGATATTT